TCATCCAACTAGAAACATTTCTACTTTTTTTTTTTTTTTTTTTTTTTTTCACTGTCAATAACTGGACGAAGTGCTGGTGGTTTAAATATCTGCTCGTGTACCTATCTCCTCATGTGGCAACGAAAGAAACGAACACGTCCTTGATGTCACTACAAGCTTTTTTTCATATGCCACACGGAGAGATTGAAGAGGCGACCATAGGCGCCGCCAGGCGGCGGCCCTTCGGCGTTAGTCCCCTAAGTGATTTCAATAAAAGCGTATTAACCCATGATGCGTTTTATACAAAATAATTCATTGCAATTATCACCAAAGTATAACATAAATCTAAAGTTTGTTTTTTATCTACTCGTAAACAAAGAAATTCTGTTTTATATTCAATAAAATCAGAAAAAGAAACGTATGGCACTCACTCTTTCTTTTCTTTTCTTTTCTCACATGGCTTCAGACCGGGACGTAGTGCTCACACGGCCCTTGGGGGTTGAGAGTTCAAGTCTTTCCAAGCATGGGCCTATAACTCAGTTGGTTAGAGTATACGCCTGATAAGTGCGGACTTTCTTCTTTCTCTCTCCAGATATAATTGAGTCATTTTAGCTAATGCCTGTTTAGCTCGATCCGCAAGAAAAAGGAAGTTGTTTCTTGGAGATCCGTCAGCTCTGCGCCTCTTTCTTATTTACAAAGGGCCCAGTCAGTCTCGTATCCGATCTTGGATTCATCTAGAGGGAAATTTGGGCCCTAAAGGGCCTTTGTATTTGACCGGCCGCCGACCAAAAAAGGACTAAGGCCGAAGGGCCGCCGCCTGACAATCTTTTCTAATTTGCTTGGATGGTATTTAGAACTTCGTATTCTATCGGCTAGTGCTCTAGGTCCGATGACTCCAATCAGGAAGTCGTCCGCATAGCGAACATAGTGAATCCTTCTAAAATGACTCTGGCGAGCCGACGAACGCGAGGGCTGAAGGCACGTCTTGAAGGCTGCTCTCCGATCGCCGCCGGATCTTCGCAGTGATCCTTTTTGTCCGCAACCTGCGGCGGTGAATAACTATAAAAAGATAGGATAAACTGTCATGTTTCTATCAGAAGAAAAATCAAAGTTAACAACAAAAAGCTAGTAAACATCAGAAAGATGGGTATCAGCATAGAAAGATGTATTGATGTACCAAATTGGCTAATACTAGAAGGTTGATGCAAAGTGTTCCACCAATTTACAGAGAATTTCATTATTGGTATATTTATGAGACCTGTACAAACAAAAAGAGAAGCTACATCTGCAGAAAAGAATAGAAAACGTAGTGCACCTAAATAGATAAATAGCAGTATTAATACGGTTGTTGTTGTTGTTGTTGTTGTTGTTGTTGTTGTCATTGTTGTTGACGATCTGGCTGGCCGGTCCTCAGCCAGGAAATGATAAGAGGATCTCCCTTCCCTGTCTGAGGATCCTTCGGAACCTGCGATCCATCCTCTCCGGTGAGTGTGGGTTCGGAGGGTCCATCACTTTTGTGAGTGTGAGGTTGAAACATGTTGAATCTGAAGGCAGAAAAAAACTTCAATTACGTTCAATGTATAAACACATTTGAAAGTGAATCAAGCAATGCCTGCTTCACTTTTTTTTTGTGGTTGATTCACTTTTTTTGTATTCCTTTCCGCATATTTATCGCACCCCTTCTCGATGTAATAACACCTTTCCAATTCAAAAGGGGGTGACCACATTCAAAACGGGGGGGGGGGGGACCACCTCTAGATAAATGTCGCCTTCAAATATTTCGATGATCTCCAACTCATCAGCATTTAACTACAGTAGGTAAGAGGTAAAGCAAAATAATCTCCTCACTGTCTTGAGAGTCTTTGAGACCCACTCGCCGACCAAGAGAAGAGCTTAGAGTTACAACAGCCCCCCAAACTCAAAGTTCTCTTCATCTTCTTTTCATGTGTTTGGCCCATCTTCCCAAGAAAAAAACAGCCGATCTGTCTTTCCAATGCTCCCCACCAATAGATTGGAGCATCGTCTAAAAAAAAAAAAAAAAAAAAAAAAAAAAAAAAAAAAAAAA